CCTAGCAAAATTATAGCAAGATTTAATCTTTCAACATATAATCAACAACATATAAATTGGAAAAAAATAGCTTAATTATAAAATCAAACCCTCTAATTTTGTTTTTGTTTTTTTTTTCTGTTTTTATTTGCCACGAGGGCGAGTGATAAGAATCAATCCCAAAATCTCATGGAACTGTGAAGGAAACTCTAACCACTTGAGCTATCCCTCACTCTCATCGGTTTTGTTTTTAAATACCAATAAAGTATAGATTAAAGGTAAAATTGCTTACGAAAGACCGAGCAAAAGTGGAATTATTTATTTCCATTTTCTCAAAAGTGTATTAAATTACAAGTAAAACAATTTTCATTCAACAAAAATAATTTAAGTTCATTAAATATAAGGTGAAAGAGTATGGGACCTTAATCAATACTCCCTTCATCCTTAATAGTTTTCTATATGTTACTTTAATTTTTGGGATATTATCAATGGTACAGACAAGGTTTGAGCCTTTATCAATGGTACACCTACTTAACTATTGTTTATCAGCGGTACACCCAAGATTTCATACAATTATCAGCCGTACACCTACCGTACACATTTCGTTAAAAAACATTAGATTTGGTTTTTAATTACAATGAAATGACTAAATTGCCCCCCTACCCCATAGACATTCACTCTCTCCCTCCAAACTCCAACTACCTAAATTAAAATCACCCTAAACAAAAGATCGTTCATCTTCTTCTTCCTTCTCACCCTAAATGAAGCTAATCAGGCTCAACCACCACCTCTAAATGAACCACCAACACCTCCTCAGCAGCCTACAGATGATGGTGCATCACCTACTGTTGGTCTTGAAAAGAACCCCTCTTCTGCCCAACCTTCAAATGCTCCAATGACCAAACTCAAACCTAGGAGGAGATTGAGATTGACATACAGGTCCACCAATGATGCTATTGCTACTACTGTTAGGGATACTGACATACCTTTTATTAGATGAAATTGCTACTCACCCCTCATTAGATGATATGTTCCCTAAGGAATTTAATTATGATCCAACTATTACTACTGCTGATATGAAATAGGAGCTTGAGGGTATTGGTGTTAACATTTCTAGTAAGGAATACACTAAGGGTAGGAAGGCATTTGAGAAGGCGTGTGAAAAAAGTGCTGCATCTAAGGGTAAGGGCAAGGGTAGGGGGAAGGGTGATACTTCTGCTACACCTAAGGGTAAAGGAAAAGGTAAGGGGAAGGGTGAGACTTCTACTGCAGCAAAGGGTAAGGGATAGGGCATAGAACTAAGTAATGTTCTTGGTCAAAGAATTCCCCCATCTCTAGAATCACCACACACCATCTTTAAAACTCTTACTGGGAGGAGGAGTCCTAGATTTACAGTCCCACTATCTAACCCCAACATCTCTTTACCTGAAACCACCTTATTTGATAGGAAAAGGCCTAAAACCATAGCTATTAGGAAGGGTTTGTGGGAAAAATCTGAAAAAAAAAAAAGTCCAAATGTTAGTGTTGTGAGGAGAATGGTGAATTTTGATGATGCAAGTGATGAGGGTTCTGATGATGCAAAGTGAGGGTGCTGATGATGCAAGTGGGGGTTTTGATGATTCAAGTGAGGGTTCTGATGATGAAAATGGGGGTTCTGAAACTGATGATTTTGACAATGAAGTCATCATATCTTATGACATTCAACCTGATGAAATGGAAGAAATTAGTGGAGTTCCACATGTAGAAGAAAATTGGGAGCTTGAAGAATGGTATGACTTTATTGATTCTGATGATGATGTCGGCTACTTGAACAAGCTGTACAAAAATGGAGAAATGTATGAAGAGAAAGACTTTGGGAAAATCCAGCTGAAACATTGGATGCTTTTCATTGATAAGAGTCATTTGAGGGAAACCTTGAAGGACTATGTTGTCCAAGAAGGGTTTGCTTTGAATGTGGTGTATGCAGACAACAGGAGGTACACAGTCACTTGCTATGCTAAATGTTGTGACTGGAGATTACATGCAAGCAGGCTGCCAGATGGCAGGACATGGGCTGTGAAGAAAATATGGCCTGATGTGCACATATGTAGGGGTTTGGAGACATACAACCCAATGTGCACTGTAATGGGTTGCATACAAAGTGATGGAGGATATTAGGGCTAATCCAGATATCCCTGGGAAACCTTTGAATGAGCTGCTGTTTCAAAGGTATGGTATGTACATGAAGCAAGCTTCTTTGTACAGATTGAAGAGGTATGTGAGAGATGTCCTGTTTGGAGGGCATGATGAGTCTTAAACTCACTTACCTACAAATAGGTTAGGTGATTACAAGCACTAACCCAGAATCAGTAGTATTTGTAGCATGGCATGAGAGTGAGAGCATCCCAAGAGTGAACTTGTTTAGCAACATCTTTATATCTTTTGCTGGGCAATGAAAGAGGCTCCTAAGTAGTTGCAGGCCATTAATTGGTGTTGATGGGGCACATTTAAAAGGCAACTATGGGGGTATCTTGTTGTCTTCCATTGCAATTGATGGAAACAATAAATTTTCCCTGTGGCATATGCAATAGTGAGTGCTGAAGACAAGGAAAGCTGGTCATACTTCTTTTGGAATTTGCACAACCTTGTTAAACACTTAGACATGACAGATTGGACTATTTTATCTGATAGACAAAAGGTACATCATACTTTTGCTTTCCATTATACAGTTGCATTCATACTTAGAGTAGGACTAACTGATTTGAACTTGTTCTTGCAGGGTGTTGACATAGCTTTGAAGCAAGTTTGGCCTGCAACTAGGAGAAGGTATTGTTGCACACACTTTAGCAGAAATTTCAAAAAGCTCTTTCCAGGTCCATTGATGTATACCTTATTCTAGAGGGCTTGCAATGCAACCTGTGCATTCAATTTTAGAAAAGCAATGGAGAAGCTTCAAAAGGAGGGAAGTGAAAAGGTGATGAAGTGGTTTGCAGACATTGGTGATCAGTCCAGATGGAGCAAATACAAGTTTGATCCAAATGTTTGTAATGACTCAAACACATCAAACTTTGTGGAAAGTTTTAACTCAACCCTTGGGGTTGACAGGTGCAGACCTATCCTAAATCTACTAGAGGGTATATTCTCAAGACCCTTGATTCATTTTTACCTATAGTTGCATATGCTATGTTTTGCTGAATTGATATTATTCTTGTGATAGGAATTAGAAGGGTTTGTATGGTGAGGTTGTCAGCTAGGCATGAGAACTCAAAGTCATGGAATGATGATGACGTTTGCCCTATAGCAAAGAAGGTTAAGGACATCAGCAAGGCAACCACCACTTGCAAAGCATACCAGTCTACTTCCAGGGGAGTATGAGATACACGAGGGAAAATCTCAGTTCCCATTAAGCTTGAACAGCAAGATATGCTCTTGTGGTGCTTGGCAGCTATCTGGCATACCTTGCAGGCATGCCATTAGGGAAATGGTCCATGCAAGATTGATCCCTACAATTACATCAGCTCTTGGTATTCTGTGAAAACATACAAGCAACTATATAGCCACTGCATACATCCAGTGCCTGATATGAGTCAGTGACCAAGCATGGATGCTTTCCCTCACATTGATCCTCCAAAAATGAAAAGAGGTATTGGTAGGCCAAGCAGGAACAGAAAAAGGGAAGAAGGGGAGGATCAACCTAGCAAAAGATCAAGGACAGTCAAGTGTGGTAGCTGTGGTTCTTTTGGACATAATGCTAGGACCTGCAAGGGAGGTTTAACCAGTAAAGAGGCAGCATAACAGACGACATCAGTGCTTGATGCTTCACAGCTGCAGAGTCAACCCCCTCTTAGCCAGTCACAGTCCTAAAAATAGAGAGCTTTGCATGTTCTTGCTTAGAGTTGCTTAGATTTTTGTGTATTGAAACTTTGTGTTGGTTTATGTCTCTAGTAGCTTTTGATAATCTAGTTTTAATTTCAGCATTTTGAATTATGCTATTGACAATCAATTTGGTACTCTAAGCTTTTGAATTATGCACTGAATGGCAAATGCATTTTCTTTTGGTCAATATTTGTGTATTGAATTATGCATTTTGATTTTTCAACAATTGTTCTACTTTAAATAAGAAGTTCAGCAGCAATATTTCCATAAAAATAACATACTTAGCTTTATTCATATCAAATAGCAGATTACAGCAGCATTACATTATTTCAAAGCTACTAATAATAACACCAAATACATAACAACACCAATTTTGACCACCAAATGAACAAAGTAAGCAAATTCATCTGTTTTGTGCATAAAGTCATTGAATTCTCTCCTCAGAAGTTGAACACTTGTAGCTTCAGGTGTATTACCCACCGTACCTGCTGTGTCACACACAATTTGCTCCTCCTTTAACCCACATGAAAAATTCACACAACCTGCACTTGTAGTAGGGCCTTCCTGGGTTTGAAACAGAGTTTGTGAATCGTATATCAGCAGATCTTGAGGGGTCACAGTTGCAATTAACTGATTTGAACCACAAACTCCTTCTATTCCTGTTACTTGAAGAACTCATGCCAGAAGAAGACATTGAGAAGCAAAAATAAAAAAAGGGAAAAGGGAAATTCGAGAAGAAGAAGAACAGTAAGCTGCAAATGAGTGGGTGGGTTAGTTTAAATAGGAGGGAAAGTAAAGAGGGAAAAAAGGAGGGAAACTAAAGAGGGAAAAAAAAGGAGGGCGTTTTTTAAGTTAAAAAAACGTAAAAAAAAAAACAAATCTAATGTTTTTTTAACGGAATGTGTACGGTAGGTAAACGGCTAATAATTGTATGAAACCTTGGGTGTACCGCTGATAAACAATAGTTAAGTAGGTGTACCATTGATAAAGGCTCAAACCTTGAGTGTACCATTGATAATTTCCCTTTATTTTTTAAGTTTAAATTGATTGGAATAGAAGAGAAAAAAGTGATGGAATCTAAATTAATATTGTGAGAGTAAAATTGTAATCCCATAGACAATTTATTGTATGGAGAAATTTTTGTAAAATGCATCATAATTTAGGAAATTAAGTTATTTTCAAAGATTTTACATGGAAATTGCTCTACAAAATAGGTCTTATTTTGGATGATGATTGATATACATATGCTATTAGTATACAGTAGATTACTCTTGCCTGCTGAATTGTCAAAAAAAAAAAAAATTAAATAAAAAATTGTAAGTCCTGCATTTCAAGGTATAAGCATGATACAAGATAATTATTTCAGGACAGCATGAAGCAAAGAATAGTTTCTATCCAGATCATCAATATACATGAAGTGGTTAGATTTTCACTGCTGAAGCCGCTGGAGCACCATATGGCTGTAAAGTTTGCAGCAAAAAAATTTAATCGACTGCTGTATCAGTGGGAACATCAGCAATTGAGTCCTCTGTGCCTCAGAGTGAAATAATTTCTGCTGCTTGAGGGCAATCGTTTGCCAGTAGTTGCACACACAGGACCTCCAGAGTGTTGCCGAGTTCTTAAAAATTGCAACAGATGAAATGCAAAACGAGCCTACAAAAAAAAAGTATTTTCCTAATTTACGAATATAAAAGAACAAAGGTCTCAAAAGAAAATTGAAATAAAGAAAGTTTTGGGCTCTAAAAGATAGTTACTGATATAGAACCTTCGTTCTGATTGATGCAAACAGTATCAACAATTAATCATTGAGATCCAGCAAGCAAACACACTCGATATGTGGAGTGTGAGGGAACATGTCTACAGGTTGGATGCTCCTTAATTTGTAGCATCCTTTTATTTTCTGCTCCACCTGCAAAGACACCATATATGTAATTCAGGCAGCAGGAAATCAACCCCGGAAACAGATTCCAATTATAGAAGATTAATCAAATACCGAGCCATGACACAGGTAATCAAGGTCGCGAGCGCATGTGGCAGGATTGCAGGAAACATAGACGATTCGAGGAGCTTTCAACTTTAACAGAAACTTGATCAGCTTCATGTGCATTCCAGGACGATTTGGATCTGGAATATTGAAACATCATTTGAAAAATTAGAAACTAGCTAGCTCATACAAAGATTACATCTAACTGATTACTTATATATGTGAAACAAATGGCCAGCAATTGACATCAGGCAAATGACGATATATGCATATATCCTAATAGTAACTCCCTCCATTCCAGTTTATTGTCAAAGTTGACAAATTGTCAAAGTTGACAAAACACGTACACTGAGGTAATAGAACCAATAATTTTCATTTCAGTGGAAGAGTGCCATAAATGCACAGGGTGACAGTAAATATCTTAGAAACATCCTAAAACTGGAATAGTGCCATAAATACACAGGGTGATGATGAAGAACTGGGATAGTCTACTGAAACATCCTAAAACAAGAAGCATCGTAATCAACTTGAACAAGTTGAAATGGGTGAAATACATTTTCCCAGCCTCATAAATTAAGGGAAAAAAATCATAGTTGGGATACAAAAACATGGAATAATTAATAAATAAATACAAAAACATAATTAGGAGAAACAGCACACTGGTGGGAGCAAACTATGAAATTGGATACTTTACCTGATATCACTACATCAGGTCTAGGAAAATTCTTTCCAAAGTTTTCATCAATTTTATTAAGGTCTCCTTGGACAAATGTAGCATTGCAGATTCCATTCAGGTCAGCATTTCGACGAGCATCTGCGATGGCTTGAGGAACTACTTCATAACCATAAACATGTTTGGCCCTGAAATTATAAGACAAATAATGAGTATTACTGCATAGTGTATATTACTCTCTACAATAAAGTCAAAGCTATGATGCCAAGATTGCGAACCTTCTGGCAAGTGTGAGACCAATGGTGCCTGTTCCGCAAAACAGATCCAGCACAATTTCGGAGCCATCACCTCTGAGACCAGCAACATCCTCAATTAGTCCATAAAGAACCTCTGCCTGAAAAAGTACGAAAATTTGGCATTTAGACCAGGAAATAATTAATAATATTACCAGCAAGGTCAGAACTCAGAAGGACTCTACTTGTTAAAATCCAGTCATGCAGAGATTATTAATATCATTGCAAAAAGAAAGAAAGACTATTAATATGAGCACATACCTGCTGTGTATTTGTCTGGAAGAATGAGTTGGCAGAAATCTGAAACGTCAGCCCTCTCAAAACTTCAGCAATAGTAGCTTTCCCATACAATACATGCTCCTTCTCCCCAACTGAAGTGCTCCCCACTGAGGTATTTATGTTGTTCACAATGCTTGTCTATTGATCATGAAAAGGAAACTTAATTATTACTATGTTTACAAGCAAGTAAAACAGTATGAAAGAATAGAAAGCTAGGACTTTCTCCTTCAAAGACGAAAGTGAACGTCACATTATCACAAATATTCAATATAAGAAGTGAAAGAACGGAATGCAAGAAATAAGAAGAGGAAATTTAATACCACACAAATGAAAGAAGAATAATCAACTTTCAGAAATGAAGACCTTAGCAATTGAAATTGCCATTCTTTGTCAAGAAACAACCTATCCCAAAAGCAATCCTAATTTTATTAGCTAACTTTTGCCTTCCCCAAAATTAGAAGCCATGCTTACCACTCATTTCATCTCTCAACCAAAAGGTTCACATCTCACCAACAAAAGTTCTCAAAGTCTCATCAAATGATTGCACATCAAACTACCAATTAAAAAAATAATACATGTACAGAGAACAGCGTATCAACATCACTATTGTTAGGATAAATATTTGTGTATTTGACTTCCTTGAATAGGAACTAAGGCCATAGTGCTGCACACATCTCCTCCAGGAAGTAAGCAGCATAGCTTGATCAACCTTAAAACTGTCAATACCACACAGACAGAAAGAAAAAAAAAAAAATGTATTCCAGCATTTAATCTCCATTACTTCCTTCTGCAAAATGCCTTTACAGATACCACAACTCAACAATCAAGGATCTACAAGTAACTCAGTTTATGCAAATTTACCATATCAAGAGAACACCATTGATCTAATTCGACTCATCTTCTGTGTTTTCTCGCCTGGATCCTCATGACAGGCACTAATATGATTCTATGTTCTCGCACTAACACAGGAATAGTTACTCATTTCATATAATCTGCACTATGCATCACATATTCGCAATGAGATCAAGCGACAAGAAAAAAGCATTTTTTAGCTGCCATCATGTCATTGGAGCATATTGACTTAATTGAAATATATTTAAGAGAGAGTAACCCCTTGACTCTCTTAAGTTTTGTGACCTTTGTTCTGCTACTAGACCACATAATGTCCTATCAATTTCTTGAAACATCCTTGTCAGTACTCTATTTTACAAATTAGCAGGAACAGATTCCATATGTAGCTCCAAGCCTCATTCCCCTGACATTTCCATGGCCAACAATGTAAATTCTAGACCTAGCATAGGTTTATCTGACTTGAAGAAAGGGACAATACAATTAAACCCCCAACACCTTGTGTTATTCAAAGTAAAATAGCCACCTATCCAATCTTGATATTATTTGGTCAAATCTAGTGGCATAAAAAAGCTGAATTAATCCAAACCTGATAATACTTAAACCAAATTGAACCGCAAACCTAGTTGACCTAAAAACTTACTTAAAATAAATAATTACTATAATCTCATGCTTCATATCAAACATAATGCAAATAAACCAATAAGATATTATATGAGTTGTTTATTTTATATTGCATTTCTATAATCTCATGCTTTGTATCAAACATACTGCAAATAAATCATAAAGAAATAATATGAGTTGTTTCATAAAACATCCACAAAATTTAGGTAGTTGATTATGAAGATGAAAGATAAATCCTATTTACAAATTACATGCCTAACCAGGCTGTGATGAATCAGCAACAAGCCCTACAGCCACCACTCAAGGTGTACACAAGGAGAACGAAGAACCGTGACTGGGGTAATGACTTGGCAGGGGACCAACAAGCAAACAAAAGCAATTAACATTCCACTAAGGGGTGTGGGCAACAAGGTGAGAAGGGGAACTGCTCTGCTGTGACTGTGGACAGCCAGTGAAGACAATATAGCAATTAAGGATTGTAGTACTTTTTGTAGTATGTTTATATATATAAAGAAGTAGGGCTTAGCTTTGATGTTCTGTTGAGTATTGAGAACTTTGTGAGAGCTTGGTAGCCTGAAGTTACCTATTGAGATTGATAACCTCAAGTTATCTTGTTAAACCTTTGGCTGGAATTCATGAAAGCTTGAATCTTTCAGCTAATTTCTGTATTTGTGTTCATTTCCTCATACTTGAAAAGTCAGTTCATTACACAGGTACTTTTCCGCCATCAGGGGAGGGTTTGAGAAATTGTTTTGAAAATTTGGTCGGTTTATTTTTATTTTGGGCGAGGGGAGGATTAGTCTACGGCAAATAAAAAGAACGAAATTTTCCAAGGCCTGTTACTGATTAAAGAGGTTTGAGACAGATTAGAGTAGAGCCAAGTTTAATAACTAAAAGTATCCTTCCAAAATTCTTTGAACCTGCACTATCAGGAAGGATGTAGTTCTCCATTCTCACTCTCATCATAGTAAATGGAAACGGAGCCAAGCAGAGGGAGTATTTTGAATTTAGGAGGGTAGGTGGCCCTTCAGATGGAACCCCAATTGACATCAATGCTATTCTTCTTCCAAGCTTTCATCTAGAGATCAGATAGACCATTCCCTGTTACTTATGAAGCAGAGCACCCTATCAGATCCAGACCATCCAGTAAAAGGGATAACGGTGACCCTGATTTTGACGTGTATACGAAAAAGCAAGGGGTAGAAAAGGGGCTGAGGTCCTATTGAAGATAAGAGAGACTAGCTCTCCTCGCCGAATGGAGAGGGAACTGAATGAAATATATTAGAGGATTTATACTCTCCAATGGTCCATCCAAAATGATATCATTTCCATCACCCAGGCACTATTGAGAGTATTTAGCTCAATGATTTGCTTAGGACAGTCTTAGCGATATTTAACCAATTTGGTCAGGTCCAGGCATATCATCTCAAAACCATTACAGTCAAAGTCATCGTGACAAAGTGAATGTACTAAGGAAAATAATTAAGGAAGAAAAAGAAACTAAACCATTTCCCTAATATAAAATAATACAACCTAAATACTCCCTCCGTCTCATAATATAGTGCCTATTTCATTTTGCATGATCTTCATTACATACTCCCTCCGTTTTTAATTACTTGCCCCATTTCTCCATGCGCGGAGTTTTAGGAGAAATTGGAGAAGTAATAAAATATGGAGGTAGTGGGGTTGGTGGAAGAATAAAAAATTATAAAAAGCAAAAGTAGTTGAGAGAATTGGAGGAGAGAATATAAAATTAATAAAATATGATTTATATTGGGTCCACTAGTTGAGAGAAATGAATTAAAAATTATAAAAGCTTTCCAAATAAGGAAATGGAGCAAGTAATTAAAAACGGCCGCAAATGGAAAGTGGAGCAAGTAATCAAAAACTGAGGGAGTACCTTTGACCACAATATATTTGACTACATAATAACAAAAATTATAATTGATACTAACAATATTTCACACAGCTATGTTTTTTGTATATACAAATGAGAATTTTAAATCAAAGTTTTATAAGTAAGACAATAAAAATGAAAATGGGCACTATTTTATGGGACAGGGAGTATTCTACACAGATATGAACATTAATTCTACTTCCTAGCAGAATCTAGGAAGGATAGAAAGGAAGAAACAAATAATATCTTTCATCATCAACAACACAATAAACATAAGAGGTTTGATAGCCCCACATCTTTCTACAAGGCTACAAGCACATACAATTTTTTTTCAGTAGACTTAAATGTTTTTACGAAGTGAGAGCTAAAAATGGCTCACCACTCACTTTACAAGAAAAGAGTAATGATTAAATTTCATAACATAATAATAATGTCTAGAATAGTAACTATAAATATATAAATGCGACTAACCACTTCAGTGATGGCCGAAACTTTCTCAACTAGAGGCTCTAATAGCTCTGGCTTATACGCAGAGGTCACAAAATTGACCATAATTTCAGGCTTACCACTTTGGACATCCCTGCAAAATGAATGACCATCCATAGTAAGATTTAAATATCAATTATCTAACGAACTCCAGCAATTTCGAGTCCAAGCAGAAGGATAACCTTGATTGCTTTTGAATAGAAAGGCACATGTTAGAATGTCACTGACCTTCTAACTCCTATCTATGAAAGCGGCAATGACACAACTGAAAACATACATTTGACACTGCACCCATAAGCCTAGACCCAATTTTTTCACATAGTAGGCTAAATTTACAATTAAAAATATTAACAGCAACTTTCCAGATAAATTTTTATCCAATACCTGCAAATATCAGGACAGCCTTTGTCATCTCTGATATCCAGGTTTGTTTAAGTTCCAGAAAAGGTCAACACTCTCTTAAAATTGACTTTTCTAAGAGTTAGCAATTAAATTTTGGAGACTCGATAAGTGCAATTTACATATGTATATTTATCATTTGGAAGCAAGAGAAATTGGCTAAGTTGAAAGTATTCAAGGTCATTCAGATTTCAGGTTCCAGATATGGATGGAAATAGAAAGAAAATAAGATACCAGAAGTCATGGATCACCAGAGATCCCTTTATCCTCTTAAATTGACATGTCTCCATGGAAAAGGTTTAGGTAAGGATCAGTGGATCACAGCCTAAAGTCAAGCTTCAAATATTACAGTTTAAGAAAGTATAAATCTAATTCTATAAAGCCTACCGCTTTAAGCACTCACAGCCCAGAATTCATGAAGTAATGTTATATTACAATAGCTAGCCCTGCTCTCTTCACCTTATTTTTGCTGGATTGAAATTATTCTTACTAAACTAAAATTATTTTTGCTGACCTTAAATTACTTTTAATGAACTGAAATTATTTTAAGTGTACTTAAATCATTTTTACTAATTTAAACTATTGATTCTCTATTATACTACGTATTTGTTCTTTAAAGTTACTGATTTTTACTGATTAAAAATTATTTTTACTATTTTACTGAACTGAACTAAAATTATATTTACTAAATATTATTATTTTAAGTTGAAGAGAACAGGGCCTAATTGAATATTGACATCTTGTTGTATGCAATAAATAATGCTATCTAGAACAAACAGAGAATACATTGATGGTAACTTAGAAATAAGAAAATCCAGTTACCTGCCAGTTCTTATCACTAGATGCTTGAGAAACCCAGCATGGGTATGAACATTATAAGGAGAGAGGCCTAAGCTCTGATCTCTCCAGCAGTCTTGAACTGCCAAGAGAAACTATTATCAGAAATTCAAATTAACTCTGAAATAGATCATGAACCAAACAACTCTATATCTAACATGATCATGGCATGTGAAGATGACATACAACCCTCAGCATATTAAACATGAAAAGGATGTAAACAAGAATTGATCTTTGCATTAAGGGACTCAAGAAAGTAATGCTTGACATAGGTAGTAGTAGCAAATGTAAATATATAATTCTAATCCAGAAACAAAACTGCATGAAAAAAAGAGCCAAGTGTTCATTATCTAGAGACCAAAGTAAAATTTAACTTACTGCATCGGCAGGCTCACTTTGTAACAAGCACTTGTTGATATTGAGTATCTTGTCAAAAAAGCCTGGGGCATGAAGTCCAAGAGCATAATCGTTCACACTACCTTGTTCTTCTTCCCAAAGTTCTTGAGGTATCCATCTTTGATTGCTAAATGAGAACTCCATCTGTCAAAGAGTAACAATATGTCAATATCCCATTAAGTTTGATATTAAGTAGTGTAAACATTAAGTTTCAGCATAATTAGATTATTAGAAACATTATAGAAGTGTTAAAGGAATAACTTTACAAATAAACAAATCCGCCGGATAATAATATTAGAATGCTAATGCAATTAGAGGATATAAGCATATAAACAAACATATACATCAGTACATATGAGTACATCTAAATTTTACAATGACTTCTCATCATTACCCAGTAAAAGTACTAAATGTACTATAATTACACCTAAAATTTTATATATAAGTAAATGGCTGGTGATCTCGACATAGGACTGGCAGTTATTTATTTATTTTGTTAATTAATGACATACATTCTACTTCCATAGTTCCATCTGTTTTCACCTTTTTTGTTTTCCTCTGTGTGTGTGTGTGTGTGTTTGTTTTTTTTTTTTTTTTTTTTTTTTGGGGGGGGGGGGGGGGTTGAGCTGCTTCAACATATATCACAGTAAAGAGTTGAGGTTTTCTAACCTTGTTTCTGTAATGAAACTGGTTTGCACAAGGAATAATGGGCTTTGTGATGCTGAGAAAATCAGGTTGTGCATCAGAAAACTTCCCAACGTGTAGCATTATTTCCCAAACTTGTTGCTCTTTATATTTTAGTTGGGCTTCATATGACAGACTCTGTGTCTTACAGCCTCCACAATATGAAGCATATTCACAAGGAGCATCCACAGCATCGTGGTGAGGAGATAATGTCTTCACCTTTGCCACCTAGAAACAATTCAAATAAACAAAAGAACTAAAAATAAGTCAATAAATGTCATCACAAAAATATAAAGAGGAAGTTAATAGACTCAAACAAACTTCTTAAGTTCTCAACAATCAAACAGTACAGCATAGCAGCCCCAAAGCAAGAGGCAGAGGATAGAACCAACTCAATTATCCTTTCCTAGTGAAATTGGTTAACTCACACAAAAGGTTGGAACTCAGAACATATGCATACAAATTAAGGGCTGCCAACAGTATCTAAATAACTAGGATGAAATCGCGTTAAAACCAGGTATTCTTAGCTAGTTTCTCTGATTAGCAAGAGAAAAAATATAAAAATTCAGCTTAATTTAGGGATTTATGAACAACATGTTGTATTAATTGATTGGTTGTATCCTAATATTAATTACCAGCTTTTGAGAGGTTGCTCTCTCCCAAGGAGTGATTACAGATTACTTTTCTCAAAGAGTATTACTATCAGCATCCTCCAATATCCATTACATCAGCCTTCCCTACTCTTGCTCACCACTTCAACGTCCCACAAACTCAGTACTGATTTCACTTGCTACCGTTAGTACTATTTCGGTAACAAACTACTAAAATAATGAAATGGAAGCACCATTGAGCATTTCTAATCAGATTTCCTTTATGCTAATATTTCTTGTCAAGCAAAAGTTGACAGCCCTAAACAGGATATCAAAGCCAAGCAGACATGTCGATAGTCCAAGAACAATGAAAGATAAGTAGATAACCACTTGACACAAATTTCAGATAAATGGACATAAACGATCTTCAGAACTTAGCTCATCATTGCATACAGGGGTAACACCCTAAAATGCATTATCCAACTCTTGTACACTAAACTTTGATCTAACTTTCTTCATTATTAATGTAAAGAAAGAAAGGAAAACTGTATCACATGGATAACATCATTCTCAAATGCTCAACATGAAACTCCCACCTAAGCTACTCCACAATTGCAAGGAGACATTTCCAATGATCACCTTGATTGAAGAGGAAAGACACTCACATCCATCTAACCTACTTCAAATTCAAACCTGGCTTGAAGTTCAAAACTCTAAATTTGAAGTATATGGAAATATAAATAAAAAGTAGCATTATAATTCCATATATTCCAAAATCATTGCACAAACACAAAGTTGAGGCTGATTATAACATGTAAGAAGGCTTACCACCCAACTTCATAAGAGTTCACATTTATGTTCCTATCATACTAAGTCGAAATGAACCAATCATACCGTCTTTTACAAGAATTTATCGACAACTCGATTTTCATCCCTTATTACTTCAAATAATTACAACAAGTAAAACACAATATTCCATATCAATTCCAATCAAATAAACTAACTGTTCCAACATTGTAACATAATTAAATTCCAACCAAAAATATAAATAAGAAGTAGCATTATAATTCCATAAACCTCAGCATAGTAAAACACAAATTTCCATATCAATTCCAATCAAATAAACTAATTGTTCCAACATTACAACATAATTAAATCCCAACCAAAAAAATTCAAAAAGTAGTATTATGATTCCATATACCTCAGCATAACTACCCTTTTTACGGGTAACCCGACCCAGAAAGCGTTCACCAGGAAGAGCACGATCACACATAAGAACAAACCCAGTTTCAGGAACTTTACAAACCCCTTTTGCTTTAAACGCCAATGTCTCACAAACTAACTCAAGGGTTTGCCCTCTTTTGGGGTAAAACGATGCGTTTTTGTTGCTGGGTTTTGGAGGGGAGTTTGATGGGGTTGAAGGGTGTTGCTCGGAGTTTTCTTCTTCTTCGGCAGTAGAGATTGAAGCGGCGGAAATGGAGGAGGAGAGAGAAAATGGAGTTGGGGAGAAATGGCGGAGAGTGAGAAGCCATGGACGTGTTCGTGGGTTTATGGTTCGGAGAGTGTGAGTTGTAGGTATGGTTATGGCTGCCATTGCTGAGTTTGGAAGTGTGTTAAGCTTGGTGCTTCAATTTTGGAAGAAGATATGTATCAACTTTTATACTAGTTAATAAAATACAAGTACTTTTGTACTCCGTATATTTTGTGAATTTTTTTTGTTTGACCAGAGAGAACCACAAGAACGAGTCATGATGATCCATCCAAAGATCTCTTTTGAGAATTAAGTATAGAAAAAAAAAAAAAAAAAATTGGGCATCTTAATGTCTTTTTTTTTATGTTACTTTCTTTTAAGAAAAAAGGATAAAAGAAAATTTGTTAAAAAAGACCTTTAAAAAACACCAAAAAAAAAAAAAAAAAAAAATTCATTTTTAGAGTTTTTGGCAAAAGAAAACCTGTTGTAACCCTATAACTCTCCCTTGATCATTTCAAAATTAAATTAAATTATAAATTAAAAAAAAAAAACCCACACCACCAGCCAGCCACCCCCTCCCTTTCCTCCTCCCCAGGCAGCAGCCCCCCTCCCCCAACTAGGAATGACAATGGATTAGATTCGGTTTGGATGGGGCTAAATCCGAATCTGATCCATTCCGTGGACTTGGGTCCGAATCCGAATCCAAATCCGATTGACCCGAGTCCGATTCCGAGCCCGAAACCGACTCACATTTTAAAGGTCCGAATCTGGTTAGTTTATTCAAACATTCGTATTGATCCGAGTATTGTTTGTATTGTCTCTAATAACTTTTATTGCATCATATTAGTGCAAATTTTTTTTTAAAAAAAACCTATAATTTAAAATCTAAACATAACGTATGTAAATTATAAATTAAATTTGTTACTATCAAATAAGAAAACATCTCAAGGTATAAATTGCTACCAGCTTATCGGCTTATCCTCATACAACAACAAAGTAACTTTTAAAATGTCTTTCAATTCGTATTCGGATTCAGGTCGGACTTTAAGCAAGCAGGTCCAAGTTCGATTCGCCTCCTATTCGAATTTGGATCTATTTTGTTGGATTCAGACTTTTAATAATAAAGGTTCGATTTGGAACTTTTTTTCTTCGAATCAGGTTGGATTCGAATTGAACTCGAATTGAATTGTCATCCCTATTCCCAATTGAGCCGCTGCCTAGAACCCCCACCCTAGTGACCCACCTCCATTGCCGGCCGGCCCTCTTAAATTATTGTAATCAAAACATTGGGAAGATAAAGAAATATGTCATTAGTAAGAAGATTCCTAATAAAAAGAATATTTTGAACAACAGAAAATGGATCATTTTTTTGTTTCTTTAGAGATGTTATTTTATTGTTCTTTCTAGAAAATAATACAAGTGTTAAAAAAAAAAAAATATATATATATATATATATATATATATATATATATATATATATATATATATATATATATATAGTATAGTACGCCATTAAGCATACATTTCAACATTTGTTATAACTTAAGAAAATGGGACACTACAATGAATTCTTGATTAATCAATTGAATTTAAAATAGATTAGTCAAATGACCAAACAAGCACTAAGCCCATCTCTTCCCATTTTTGCATACAAGCTGTATTTTTTCTACTGCTTTCTTCCAAATTATCACAACAATTGATTTCAGCAGCAACTTATATTCTTACAAATTGTGAGAAAAAGAGAAACACAGAAAAAATGGCTGAAGGCATTGCTTAGTAGTCTTGGTTCCTCAGCACTGAAGAGCACAACCTCTGCTTGGGGATACAAAGATAATCTAGAAAAACAAACCAACAGCGTCACCATGATCAAAGCTGTGTTAATGGATGTAGAGGAAAGACAAGTACAGGGTACTACTACTCACAGTGTTCGTGACTGGGTGGACAAGCTTAGAGCAATAGAGCTACTGCTAATCAAGCAGACAACTTATTCGATGAGCAACACGGAAACAGGTCATGAGTGGCAGTATGTTGACCAAAGAGGTCTCCAGAAGAATGGCATCAATTAAAGGGGTTATTAAACAATGGAAAATTTGGATGTAGAGTTTTGGTTACAACACGATCAAGGGAGGTAGCTCGGATCATGGGAGAATATTATGGTTTGGGATATCTCTCTGAAGAGGACTCTTGGTCTCTTTTCAGAAAAATGGTATTTGAACCAGGAAAGGAATATAATGATCCTAATCTTGTTCGATTAGGAGAACGTATTGTTAAGAAGTGTGCAAATGTTCCACTTGCTATATGAACTCTTGGAAGCCTTCTAAAGGGAAAGGGGGAAAAGAAATGGCGTTCTTGTATGGATAATGAGCTTGCAAGGATAGATGAAGCTGGCAACATCATGTCCATACTGAAATTTAGTTATCAGCACCTTCGTTCTCCATTGAAGTATCGTTTTGCCTCCTGTGCTTTGCTTCCGAAGGACACTACAATAAACAAGGAGAAATTGATTAAACTTTGGATGGCACACGGGTTTATTGTGCCGTCATATGAAAATCAGAGTTTTAAAGATGTTGGTGAGGAGTATTTCAATCATTTGTTGCAGAGGTGCTTCTTTCAGGACAGTACAAGAGATGAATGGGGTTGCTTCAAGAGCTTTAAAATACATGGCTTTAAAATACATGATCTAATGCATGATTTGGCTAAAGAAGTAGCTGGGGTTGAGTGTGTGGCTGCAACATAGAAATGAAGGATGTCACCAAGAGAGCTTATCATCTATTTTTGGATTGCAGTCTGAATTCACCATGCAAAATTCCGTGTTTCTTGCCAAATGCAATGTGTTTGCGAACATTTCTTCTGCCTGAACATGTAAGTACAGGGTCATACTTCCGCACATCCTTCTGTAAGTTTGTTTCTAGCTTGAGATTCTTGCGGGTGTTGGATCTACATGGACTGGAAATTGAGAGTTTGCCAAAATATATAGGTAAATTAATACATATGAGGTATCTTGACCTCTCCAATTTACCTATAAAAAGACTTCCAAACTCGATCACAAAGCTTCTAAATTTGCATACTTTAAAACTTGATGATTGTCTGCAACTTAAAGAGATTCCTGTAAATATTGAGAAACTTATCAATCTTCGGCATCTTAGTGTGAGCAACTGTGAGTTGGCTTACATGCCTCATGGAATCTGCCAGCTAACCTCACTTCATAGACTAGATTGGTTCCTTGTGAAGCTTGAACCAGTAGCCTACTGTTGTCCATCTTCCAAACCAAGTATGCTTCAGCTCAGTGATTTGAAAGCTCTCAATTACCTCGGTGGACAGTTAAAAATTTCAATACGTGGAATTTCAGCAATTCTTCCATCAGTTTTCGGCAATGGAGGCAAGCTTAACAGGAAAATGTAACCTTTTGGGGTTACATATATAGAAATGGACCTTGATGATGGAAGGAATGATAAAGCAATTTTGGAAGGTCTCCAACCCCATCATAATCTGAGGAAGCTGCTAATCGAAGGTTATGGAGATGATAGCTTTCCAAACTGGGCAAGCCTGGGTGGACTGAGCTTGGCTCTTCCAAACCTTCTTCACATTGAACTAAATAATCTTCCTACATGCCGGCATCTTCCCTCTTTTGGAGAGCTTGCGTTTCTTGAAAAGCTTATTTTATTGATGCTTGAGAAGGTGGAGTACATGGAGACTGGCAAGCTATCTCTACCTCCTTCATCAACTTCTCAACCAGCAACAACATTATGCTTTCCATCCCTTAAGAGGCTTACATTGTTTCGTATGTATGAGTTAAAAGGATGGTTAGAAGCACTGGGTGAAGAGAACCAACATTTATCATGGCCATCATTCCCAAAACTCTCTAAGTTGTCAATAATTAATTGTCCTAAGCTCCAAAGCATGCCATTTTCTCCTTTTTTTTGATGACTTAAGGATTGTTGATGTTGGGTTCAATCTCCCAATGGCAATGCTCAACAGTTCTTGTTAGATTATGTAAATAATCTTGTGTAATTTAGTCTGTAAATTACTATTGTATCCTTAGTCATTAGCTCTAGAATACTCGTGTATATATATTGATCATTAATCAATGAGAAAGGCACGGTGAATATTCTCATATTCTATTATGGTATCACGAGCTTAGGTTTTTCGATCCGAAACCCTAGTTCTCTTTCCGCTCTTCTTCTTCTTCCCCTGTTCTTTTCTTGTTCGGCTGCTACTCCATGGCCGACACTCAGAAGCTTCACCCTGCCACTCTCGTCACTAACATCAAAACCTGCATACCTATTGTACTGGACTATGATGGCACCCAATACAATACTTGGTATACCTTATTCGAACTCCATTGCCGCACGAATTTGGTACTCGATCATATTAATCCCCCTGTTGTTGATGACAAGGACTCTGAAGTTTCTGAGAATGCTCAAACTGCTCAATGGCAGCGACTTGATGACATCGTTCGTCAATGGATTTACAATACTATCTCCACTGACCTTCTTAATTCCATAATCGATCCTGATGAAAAGGTCATTGATGCGTGGAACCGATTGAAGGAGTTTTTCCCCAATAACAAGTCAACTCGGGCATTACATCTTGATGCGCAATTCACCAACACCAAGCTCGATCAATTCGATGGTGTCAAACCCTATTGTACTCGCCTCAAAACCTTGGCTTATAGTTTGAGGAATGTGGGTGACAAAGTCTCAGACAATAGGATGGCGCTTCAACTCTTGAAAGGGCTCTCGGAGGAATACAAGCCCTTTCGCACTTCGGTACGGCATCTCAATCCTCTGCCTTCTTTTGATACCTTGCGTTCGATGCTCGAACTTGAGGAGCAAGGCAATGCCGCTGATATTGCTGTTGACTCCCATGAGGAAGCCCATGTCTCGCAATCACCTTCCATGATTCCAAAATCAGGCGGAGAACAAACCCAATCATCTGGGAACTCTCGGGGTTCTACACCTCGTAATGGTGGTCGTAAAAATAACAAGGGCAAAGGGAGTGGACACGGTAAAGGGAAATCTGCCGCCGCCGGCCACGGTGGTCGAAACGCCCAGCCGCAACAACAACAGCACCACAACGGCAGCAACTCGTCGCAGCAACAGCAGGGGCAAGGATGGATGTTCCCTCCTCAAACACCATATTGGGGATACTGGACTAATCCTCCTTGGCAGACTCCACCCTGCCCGTACCCCAGTCAGGGCCCAGGCCCAATTCCCTGGTCACCAAGGCCGAATCAGCCATATACTCAAGGAGTCCTTGGGCCTCGTCCCCAGCAGGCCTACGCTATGACAGGTCCTCCGTCTTCTTCTTCGGGTTGCACACCGACCAACATCGACCAAGCAATGCATACTATGTCTCTTACTGACCCGAGCTACTATATGGATATAGGAGCAACATCCCATATGTCGAACTCACAAGGTACCTTGTCTTCATACATTCCTTTGAGCAAACATAATAATAATTTTATTATTGTTGGTGATGGTAGCAAAGTTCCAATTCATGGTTATGGTCACGATCATTTACACCAAAACACACTTACCCTAAAAAATGTCCTACACGTGCCCAAACTAGTTAAAAATCTTATTTCTGTTCGAAAATTCACTATTGATAATAATGTTTCCATTGAATTTAATCCGTTTGGGTTTTCTGTGAAGGGTTTGCAGACGGGGAGCAAAATAGTGAGATGTAATAGCAGTGACGATCTCTATCCCTTCTTCACCGATCGTCACCTCATTTCCACTTCACATCCGTCAGCTTTTACGATTGTGTCTCCTAGTGTGTGGCATTCCCGTTTAGGCCATCCGGGAAATGTCATTCTTAGCTCTTTGCGTAGTAATAATCTCATAAATTGTAATAAGGCTTCTAAACATGTTTGTCATTCTTGTCCTTTGGGAAAATTAATGAAATTGCCTTTTTATGATTCTATGTCTCATACTACGATGCCTTTTGATATTGTTCACAGTGATTTATGGACTTCTCCCATTATTAGCTCTCTTGGTCACAAATATTATGTTCTATTTCTTGACAATTACACGAACTTTCTATGGACTTTTCCTATCGCTTCCAAGTCCCAAGTTTACAACTTATTTCTTCGTGTTCGAACATATATTAAAACTCAATTTGAACAGGAAGTAAAGGCCTTCCAATGTGACAATGGAACGGAATTTACTAATACTCCATTTCAAAAATTTTGTGAACAACACGGCATGGCTTTCCGATTCTCTTGTCCATACTCCTCTCCTCAAAATGGCAAAGCTGAAAGAAAAATCAAAACGATCAACAATGTTGTTCGTACTCTTCTTAGTCATGCATCTATGCCTCCTACCTTTTAGCATCATGCCTTAGAAATGGCCACTTTTCTCCACAACATCCTTCCTACAAAGATCCTTGGCTACAAATCTCCGACTCAAATTCTATATCAAAGGCATCCTGATTATTCTCACCTACGGGTCTTCGGATGTCTCTGTTATCCCCTCCTCTAAAATACACAAACTTCAATCTCGTTCTACTCCTTGTGTTTTTCTTGGGTATCCATCTAGTCATCGGGGTTACAAATGTTATGATTTATCGAGTCGTAAGATTATAATATCTAGACATGTTTGGTTTGATGAGTCGGTTTTTCCCTTCTCTACAATTCACACTCCAAACAACCATACATATGATTTTCTAGACGATGATTTCAGCCCTCTCCTACATCCCATATTGCATCAACAGGTTGTACCCAATGCCACGCCTAGGCAACCTGCTGCCCCCTCATCCACACACGCTCCTGCTACGGCTGGAGTGGGGCAGCAATTGGGCACTCCATAGCCCACTGCCACTCACAGGATGGGCGAAGCAGTGCAGCCATCAAACGCACCCTCCTCATCCCACTCCTCTCCTCATCTGGCCTCATCTCAGCCACGCATTTCCCCTCTCTCTTCGCCACACTCACAGCCGCATATCTCCTCTCCCCACTATCAACCACCTATCACTCCTCACCATCCCATGGCTACTCTTAGCAAACATGGCATAGTCAAGCCTAACCCAAAGTACTCAGATCATGCTCTTCATACTACTCCCTCCATCTCCCCTATTCCAAAGAACCTGGTCCATGCCATTCGTGACCATAATTGGAAAATTGCTATGCAGGAGGAATATGATGCTCTCATTGCTAATGGTACTTGGGATTTAGTTCCGAGACCGTCTAATGTCAATGTTATCCTCTCTTTGTGGATTTTTCACTAACAAATTGAATGATTTAGTTATGCTCCCAACAGAAAATTTACAAATGCTCTCTTCTCTCTGCATTCAGTCCACCAAACTTGAGACTTTGTCAAACCTCGAACCATTATGTAAGGGCTTATCTTCTCTTCCATGCTTGGAAATTTGTTGCTTCTCTGTATTGAAATCTTTGCCTCAATGTTTGGAACATCTTACTTCCCTTAATGAGTTATAAATTAAGTTTTTGTGAAAAAATGGACTTGTCCACAGCTGGAATGGAAAGTAATAGACCTTGGATGGCTCTTAAGAATCTTTGTTATTTGACACTAGATGTACTTTCGAAATTATCAGCTCTTCCTGAAGGTCTTCAATACTTGACATTTCTTCGGTCTCTTAAAATCTTGTACTGCAAGAATTTGGTTGAATTACCAGAATGGATAAGCAGCCTTGTGTCTCTTCAGATTCTCAAACTAAGTTATTACCACAACTTAGTCTCGCTGCCAGAAGGGATCAAACTCCTGAACTCCTTGGTACAACTTGATATTGTAGACTGCCCTGGATTATATAGAAGATGTCGTAGTCCTAATGGTGAGGATAGGTTCAAGATCCAGCATATTCCCTTCCTTAGTGTTCGAAGTAGTTTGTAATTTCTGCTTGTTCCTGGGATTCAACCTGCCAACCTATAATTTAATTATGTATGTTTAAAGGTAAACATGTATAAATGTATTAGTTTTCCACTTCTTATCATATTTGAAATGAACTTCTGCTATACTAGGTTTGATTTTATGCAGTATAATATTGCTCACTTTAAGATATTTTGTTTTAGTTGTTGAGCTTCACTAGCTTATTGAACTTCAATTACCATACAGTGATCCAATGGGCATTTGACTTATATAATCAGCTTCTTTTATGGTCTGTAAAATTAGGCACAAGAGCTTAATAAATTTTTTTCTTAGATGAAAAGACATTTATGTAAGAGTTGATCTATTGTTATGGCTGCTTCTAAAGAGACGATCCATTGTTTATGTTTAGATAGGGGATTCTGTCGTAGAGTTGAGCTAAATTTGCATAATCTACTTTTATCTCCAATTTTTAGAGGAATAGCCTTATGATGTACTGCAATCAGATTGTACTTGTTAGAAACAGAATTCGTGGTCTGGGAGCTTATTATAAATATAGGTAAGCTATACGGATTAGACAAAATCCTGAATGGGTAAGGTTCAAAACCAATATGTGATTTCGATGAACTTTATAGGTACGACTAATAGAACTTCAAACCAAAGTGCAAAGTTTATGACTGCAGACTGCCAAATGCCAAAGATGAAGTTTGTTTGGCTCCAAGGTGAAAATTGCTGTTTGTTTGAGATTACAAATATTTTGAAATTTATGGTGCACGATACTGAAAACAAGGCCTAAAAGAAGAAAAGGAGCTAGAGAAATTAATCCTGCTATTAAGAGTAAACAATGAAGTGCCACAGTTGCCACTGCCCTTTTCTGTTTTTTGAAGGAATTTTGTAATTTTCACCTAGGAAAATGAAAATACTACTACTTTGGCTCCAAAGATGTGGGTGATTTTAAGGGAAGGAGATGAAAAACTAGAAAAATGCTTATTAGAGAGATAGTGTTCATAGTATCATAGTGCCCTGTAGGTGCTTAATTAGATCTAGTGATGAATTTGTTAATTGGCATATCTGTCATCTTCTTGCATGAGAAGTATATAACTCTTTTGATGTTCCCTTTGTTCTGGAATGACATTTCATCATTTGACTTCTAACATTCAGATTTGTCACATTTGTACAGTTTGTTCATGTTAGGTTCAGGTTTCCTACACTAAGTTATTGGTCTAGTACTATAGTTGCATTGCTAGTTGGTGGTGTTGATTTCTGTATTCTTCATGTGTTGGAATTGATAGTGCGGAAGTGTAGTGGGTTTGAATAATTTTAGAGGAAATATTGATGTTGAAGATTTTGTGAAATGGAGACTTGTATTATATGAATGAGATTGTTGTGGTTGTTGTGTTACATTGCTCACCAAGAATGCACCCATATTTATACTAGTACTAGGTTGGTGCATACATGTCTCTAGATTATTCTAGCTTGGTCCTTAGTCTAGACTTTTCTAGGATATTTTACTTAAGATATTTTATAGGACATTTCTAGATACATTAGATATTTAAATATTCCTAGAGTTTTCTAGACAAATATATTATATGGTAATCTACAAGATTTTTCTAGATTAATCTTTTTAACACTCCCCTTAATCTGAAAAATCTTGAACGCCAAGTTGTCTTCTGAATTGGAAGAATTTATATTTTGGAAGTGCCTTGGTGAATATATCTGCGAGCTATTCTCCTGTCCTGCAAAATTGTAGCTCGATCTCTTGTTTCTCGACCAATTCACAGATGAAGTGATGTCGTATCTCAATATGCTTCGTGCGACTATGGAAGACTGGATTTTTGGTCATTGCTATGGCTGACATATTATCACAATACATGGTAGTTGGACCTTGCATGCCTTGTTGTAGATCTTGTAGAATTCTCTTTAACCAAACTGCTTCACATGCCGCGCTTGTTGCTGATATGTATTCTGCTTCTGATGATCGATGATAGTGCCACCGTGGCTTGTTTCTTTGATGACCATGAGATAGACTTAGATCCTAGCTGGAACACAGTACATATCCACTTGTACTTCTTCGATCGTCAATGCTTCCAGCCCAGTCGCTGTCTGTGTAGCTTGTGAGCTTATAATCGATTTCGGACTTGTACATGATTCCATGGCTTTTCGTTCCTTTGATATTCCGGAGAATCCTTTTTGCTGCTGCTAAGTGAGTTTTTCTTGGTTCACTCATAAACCTTGAAATGATGCTGACTACATGAGCAATGTCGGGTCTTGTGTTTGTAAGATAAATGAGAGATCCGACCAAACTTCGGTAGAGTGATGCATCCACTTTATCTTTGCCATCATTCTTGGAGAGCTTCTCATTTGTAGCCATTGGTGTAGCCATTGGCTTACAATCTCTCATGTTGAATTTCTTAAGCATATCTTCTGCATATTTCTCTTGTGAGAGAAAAATCCTTCCTTGGCTTTGCTTCACTTGCATGCCTAGGAAGTACTTCATTTCTCCGAGGTCTGTCATTTCAAATTCTGACATCATAGCCTTCTTGAATTCTTCTATTAACCTCGGGTTAGTGCCCATGTAGATGAGATCATCTACATATAGACATAAGATCAGAAAATCTGACCCTTGAGTCTTGATATAGAGTGATGGCTCACTTGGGCTTTTTGTTAACCCAATTTGGAGAAGATAGCCATCAATTTTGCTATTCCATGCTCGAGGAGCCTGCTTGAGCCCATAGAGGGCCTTTTGAAGGCGATACATTTTATCTTCTTTGCTTTCGATTATATATCCTTGTGGTTGTTCAACATATACCTCTTCTTCCAGCTCCCCGTTGAGAAATGCTGACTTGACATCTAATTGATAGACTGGTAACTTGAATTGTGCAGCAAGGGCGAGAACTGACCTGATTGTCTCCATGCGAACAACTGGTGCATATATCTCGTTGAAGTCAATGTCAGGCTGTTGTGAGTAGCCTTTTGCTACGAGACGTGCCTTGTGTTTTTGGATGGAGCCATCTTCATTGAACTTGATCTTATAGACCTACTTGAGGCCTATAACTTCCTTGTCTTGTGGCTTCTCCACGAGCTTCCATGTGTTATTCTTCTCTATCATGTTGATTTCCTCGTTCATGGCGTTGATCCATTTTTCTTCTCTGACAGCTTCTTGAAAGTTTTGTGGTTCGCCTGTGAAGAGTGCCATGATTGCATTGATAGTCTTCTAAGTAGCCTGGGGGACGCCTTTCTCGATGTGATCGTCGTACTTCTGGTGTTGGACTTGATTCTGATGTTGGACTTGAGCTTGATGGTGAACTTGGACTCCTTGATGAAGGTCTTGGACTACTTGGTGATGATGTACTTGATGTTGATTGTGTTGGTGATTGACTTGGGCCTTCACCTTGATCTGGGCTTGTTGGTGGAATGCTTGCTAGAGGAACTTCTGAAGTGTTCTCGTTCCAGTGCCATTGTGCTCTTTCGTCGAAGATGACATCTCTTGAAATGATCAACTTTTTGGATTCGGGCTGATAAAGACGATATCCTTTAGACTCGTCACTGTATCCAATAAAGTTACATTTTTCTCCTTTTCCATCTAACTTATCCCGATTCTCCTTCGGGATGTGGGCATATGCGATGCACCCGAAAACTTTGAGGTGCTCAACTCTTGGCTTTCGTTTGTGCCAAGCTTCATATGGTGTCATGCTTCGTATTGCTTTTGTGGGAGATCTGTTGAGGATGTAGACAGATGTGTAGACTGCTTCGGCCCAAAAATATTTAGGTAGATTTTTTCCTTGCATCATACTTCATGCCATTTCAGCAATTGTCCTGTTTCTCCTTTCCGCAACACCATTTTGTTGTGGTGTGTGTCTGACTATGAGCTCCTTTTTAATTCCTTGTGCTTTACTAAATTTATTGAATTCATTACTTGTGAATTTTCCCCCACGATCGATTCGTAGAACCTTTATTGAATGCCCACTTTGTTTTTCTGTGAGGGCTTTAAATTGCATGAAATGGGATAATGCTTCTGATTTTTTCTCCAAGAAATATACCCATATCATGCGTGAAAAATCATCATCAAGCAACAAAAAATATCTTTTTCCGCCTAAAGACGGATTCTTGGTAGGGCCCCATATATCAGCATGGACAAGTTGTAATAGAGCTCTAGCCCTCCAAGATGTAGTTGGGAATGGTGATCTATGAATTTTGCCATAAATACAACCCTCACAAATTTTCTTTTCATTAGTGATTGGTGGTAGCCCAATCACCATTTCTCTATTTTTTAACAGTTTTAAACTGTCAAAATTTAAATGCCCAAGTCTCAAATGCCACAAGGTGGATTCATCCATTATTGAAATTAGGGCAGTATTAGACTCCAGTTTCATTTTAAGTG